GTCAAACTGTTCTTGCTTTGATGAGGGCGAGTCACATCCCCATGACTTGCACAAAGTTCACAGAGCCTGGCCCCAGGCCCAGGCAAACTCAGTTCTGAAATCCAAATCACATTTTACAATATGTTTGAAGGTCTAATTTCAAAGATGATGGACAAGCTGAACATAATCTTGAATATACTTCACTTTTTTTTTTTTTTTTTTAATGAATTACAGCTGTCAGCAATCACTGGCATTATTTTCTCAACTAACTCTCAGCATCACTCCCACTTCTCCCTCATTATCCAGAGCGGAACAACAGCAGAAGTTGAGCTGATAGGAGCGCATTCACTCATTGCATTCCCCCATTTCAGAGGCTGGCAACATTTCCTAATGACTGCAGCCCTTCTAAATTATTGAAAAAGCCTAAGCACCTCACCAGCTACAGAAATGGCTATTAACCTTGGTGAGCGATATTCAAATCCAGTTAGAGCTAACTTCGTCCTCCAGTATCCCTTGCGGGAAGGAAATGTAAATGTGTTCTTGCTGAGACAGATGGGGAAGCCTCCCGTCGTTTGAAGTTCCAGCGAAAGAAGTCATTGCAAGCAGAGGGCTCTCCACCCCCCTCTGTAAAATATTCAGGACTGAGTCTCATTGAGCCACCTTTCTTCCCAGTACGCTCCTTCAAACCATGCTGGGCCTCAACACCGTTGGGTTATTACGAAGCACGAACACCTCACAAAAAATAAAAAAACTTTGCAAACGTTTACAAATTCACCACTGTGCAGCGACAGTGAAAAACAGCCTGAGGATTATCTCGCTGTGCAGACAAGAATTCAGGAGATTTGATTTATGAGAGAGAGACAGAGAGAAAGAGAAAGAAGGAGAGAGAGAGCGAGAATAAGAAGACAACATCCCGTTCCCCCCTTTAAGAGCATCCTGGAGTCTAACCATCTGAATATTGCAATGTCCTCTGCATTGTTGTTGGCAAATCATCACAAATTGAATTCCACAGCTTAGCTGACATACTGTCAAAGCTGATTTGATTCAATTGTAGCGATACCTGGCTGTCAGTCAGTCGAGGCTCTGATACGGCGCTACAGACCAGAGAGAATCCCTGATCATTACTCTTATCACCTGGCCCAAGAGAGAGTAACAGAAAGAAAAGAGAGAGAGAGAAAGAGAGAGAGAGACAAAGGGAAGAAGTGGCAGACAAGCAGGTGCAAGAGCCAGTGACTGTGAGATTAGAAGTTTTTCCAAGAGTTTACTTTTTTAGGTGATGCCACCGCTGAGTAAAACAATATCCTTTTTTTTTAACACTGCAAGATATCCAGACTGTGGCAGATGATGCGTGAACATGGTACAAGCAAAGATAGGAAACTCCTTATATCTGAAACGGAGAAAGCAGCATCAGGACAGATACCAAAATTCCTCCTAACTTCACATCACATTTGTGTGTGAGTCATTTTTCCATTTTCAAATATGTGTTCATTCACTTCAGCTATATTAGACTATTTCTGTAATTACACAGAAGCTTTGTCTGAATTCAATATAAGCCCGTCTATGCTGTAATTTCTATTTACTTTAAATCTTATTTCTCAACTGCCACATCTAAAAAAAACTACTTAACAGTATTTAAAAACCTCTCAGCAGCCAAAAGGGCCAACTCTTGTCTTTAGAAGCAGCTTTGACAATCATACACATTCTGAATAGTGTATCTGAGGACTGCCGGTAAATATGAGTGAAAGGTTTTGGTGACTACAGTTGAAATACCTTCTGTCTGCGCCAAGTATTGATTGAATAAACAGAATCTGTGATGTTCTAGTAATGTTAGACACAGTGGTGGTTTATTACTCCTTTGTTATCAAGGAATATTCTCATTTCTGCTGTGAACATTTTCAATCTTCAAGTTTCACTCATTGGATGGATACGGTTTAAGTGATGAACTAAGTTTGTGGTATTTCCTGCCTTTCTTGATTTGTGGGATAGTTAACAGTAAACATCCCCAATTTGCTTCGGTTGAGCAGTAAAGCAGCCAAACCCTGTAACACCAACTGAGGATGTAGCAGCATGTTATCTAAGCAGCAGCAGCAGCTCCGGTGCTCCATGCATGTCCATGTAAAAATATGTTTTGCATTGCATTAAAAGGCTTATAGCATGACGACAATACGAGCAATTACACGGTGCTTGTAGACACTTAAAATAGCAGCGTATTTGTTCCATCACACGCACAAGACAATTGAAGAACATGGCTAAGATGTTTTTTTGTTTCATCCACTTCAGCGCCTTAAAAAGGCAGATCGACATTATCGCTGTCATGATTGAAAATTCTTTGGATTTTTATGTGTGTGTGGTTATTCAGACAGAAAATCAGCAACTAGAAAACAAAACTCTGTTTCTAGGACTCAAATCAATTCAGAATAATTTATATAGCACATTTAAAAACAACCAGAGTTGGTGCTGTACATGTTAACAGTGAGGCAGCTACAAAACAAGTGCCTAAAGCAATCAATCTGTGAAATAGAAATAATCGTACAAAATATTACTACAGAGCAAAATCTGAGCCACAATCAAAACACAATAAGTTATGAGACAGTACAAAATAATAATTACGAAAAACTACGACTTATTGTGAGAGAAAGGTTGTTCCAGGAGGGAAGCTCCTTTGCAATTACTTTATGGATATTTTTCACACTAAAATTTGAAACACTAAGAATCAGAAATTATTGACAAATGAATCCATAATCATGAACAGCTCTGAGCTGCAGCTTACGACCACGTCTACTTTAGCCTCATTACTATGGATATACCAAGCAAGTCTGGATAATAAAAATGTTTGAATTGAGTGGTTTTCCCCGATAACAGCACAACACATTTTCAGTCATGTGTTTAATGCAATCCCTTTTGCTCCGGGCACAACAACTATCAAAAACACCCCATTCCACTCCGTACAAAATCCGCTCCAAATGTCAAGAGAAAAGGCTCTATCAGTAACAAAATCTATTAGGGCAGCATGCCAAAAGTAGATAGGAGAAAGTAAATATAACATGAGTTTGTAAAAGTCCAGCTGCACTGTTAACACAGTGCCAAACAGAGGGTGCCTACTTGGCTGGATCTATGTTTATCATATCAACAGGTCCCTGCCTTGTCCTTCCAGTATACATCCGTATGCAGGCACAGCCAGAGTAAACATCAGATCTCAGACACTAACTGGGCAGAAAAATATCATACTGAGATACTGCACAGCGGAGTGGGCTGATTTATTCATCTGGTTGCTCTGAAGCTTTGAAATTTATTACAAAAACACAACTCTGCTTTCTTCTCTGTAAGCCTGCATTTGTTTGTTAGTCAATACTAGGCAGGGAGATTTATTTCCGACTCCTTTTCGTGGCTTCTTTGGCAGCATTTGTTTAATTCCGCTTGTGATCATTAGGCCAAATTCTTTGTTTACTAAACGAACAAAGACGTAACTGCAATCGTTTGCTATTGTGTACACAGACTAACCTAGCCGGACGAACTCTGTGAGCTGTTCTTTGCATTTGATACTGGGAGATCAAAGTGTAGCAGTTAACCTTGTGACTGTGGTCTTATCTAAAATGGGGCTGCAGACAGAAACTTTGAGCTATGTCCTGGGGGCAGTGTTCAAGCACAGTCTATGTCCTTACATTGTTATTTTTTAAGCTGTGGACATGTATGTGCTGTTAATGATGAACCAAGTCCTGACACACTCCACTGTGTGAGTGTGAAATATGAATACATAAAATATCAAAGATCTGGGGGAACATTTATACAAGATATTTTTAGACTTGCTTAAAAATGTACAATGTTGTCGTGAATCCCAAACCCTAAACCACTATTTATTACACAACTGTTTATATATTTCCATTCCAGCAACAGCACTCCCTGCTCCACTGCACTATTGTCAACCTCCCTAATAGGTTAATAGCGCTGTCCTAATTGTTCTGCATTTTATTTTACTCCTATATCATCAGAATTTGCACCAACAGTTGGTTTACTTTATGACATGCTAGTATATGTATCTATAACTGCACTTAGTAGGTAAATACTTTTAAATGTATGTGTTTTTTTTGTATAAATTCTTTGAGAGCAAAGAAAAAAAAACTTGTTTGTGTTCACATAGTCGTCCAAAGAAGCCGATTCTGAGATGTTTCGTAGCCTCTGGTCAATTCTTGTGCAATTGATGTTTGTTTTTCACAAAAGCAAGAATACATGAAATAAAAGCCTTTGATCTATTTATCTGTCATCATCCATTAAAGCTCTCAAAAATCACACGATACAGTTTTTCCTGGACTACTTAGAGGCTCAGTAACTCAAAACACAATTAAACTAAACATGTGAAATCAAATATTTTCAAGATCTGCTGTTACATATGATTATAGCAATGTAAATAATTAGAAATAAGACTAAATCCAAGGCCTTCAGATTTAGAACCACTGCTCTAACTAGGCTGGACTCATTGTGGTAGTAAAGTGGAACATGGGGTGAGCATGAAGAGAAAGTGGGATCCAGTCTCTCACATTTTATCATGATTTTAATCTGACATGACAACAAAAATGTGCAGTTTAAATATAACGTTCGCTGAGCCAGGATGAGCTTTAACTGTCAAGATCCAAATAACTCCTCTGATATGCACAAATACACAAAGGTGTTATGTAAAGAGAGTGACAGATAATGACATTCAGACAGGTAAAGTTTTTTTCAGATAAGCTCCAGTTAAATAAATGTATTTTTTTAAAAGTCTGCACTAATTACATGGCACGCATGATTACAGTTACTGCAGGACCTAAAGGTTGCAGTAAAAACAGCGCTGTTGCATCACCAGTGGACTGTCACACTGTTCAACTTTGATCTGTCAAACCTCTGTGTGCTCACACATGCTAACCTGTTAGCACGGCAGCTAGGCTAACTGCTCCCTGTTGACGCTGTCAGCGGACGGACTACGGCAAAAACCGAACCGCGACGTGAGAGGAGCGCATCCTCTGTGACATGAGCTGCAACGCTACCTTGACTTTGTCCAGAAGTATGTGTTTTGAGGTAGCTGTCCTCAGTCCTCTTGCTGCAGCCTGGGATGCCATGGATGCCGCCATGTTGACACGCAAGAGAGAAGGGAGATGACGTACAAGTGAACACGGAGCCGTTCATAGGTCGAGATGCTGAAGTGGGCGGAGCTTCAGGCAGAGTCCACACACACTCATGTGCTACAGAGTCCCGAGTCCAGTCTGTCATGTGCACGGTTGTTGTGCAAGCGCAGATCTCGGAAGCGTGGACAAAGTAGTGTCTCTATTGCAATTTCAATCTCAAAACTGTTCCTTTGTTTTGCAACTACAAATTAACCCCAAATTTTAACTGTAATTTTGTGTAGAATGTACTGTTAGTTTGCAGACGTTCACTGTTTTGTTAAACTACAAATAGTTTCCTCTGAAATCACATAAAAAATATTTGAATTCACTAGTTAACCATAAAAAAGAAAACACAGGTCAAAATTGTCAGGAGGTTTCACATCTGTATTTTTACAAATGATGCTGCAAAATTACACTTTAAATTTTTATTTTTTTTTTACTGTATTTAAAATCCCTAAACAACAACAAAAACAACAGTCATTTGGCATTATTTGAAAAAAAAAAGTGAATTAAAGATTTAAAAATGAAAAAGAAAACAATTAACTAAGAAGAACCCCTCCCCCCAAAAACAAACAAACAAAAAACAGGCCAACACTGTATATTATATCCACATTAAAAATCCTTATTTTTACAAATGTGTCCCTTTCCAGTGTGTGACAAACAGTTTTACTGTACTAAATGCCACCAAAAAGAATTCCTTGTTTTACAGATATTTCCTGTTATTTTCACCTTATTTTAATTGTTTAAAATGTGATAGTATTCTGCCCTATCTTATCATATTTTATCTCGTACCGTTGCAGACAGATTTTCAGTTGTTTGTGTTTGTTTTGGGCTTTTCTTTCCGTGTAGGGCTGGGCGTAACACCTGAAAAGTTTTTATAAGAATTTGTTCGTTGTGTCAGTCGACACCAATATTTATTGGTGACTTTAAGACTATTTTTGCAAAGACCAGCAGAACACAGGCTTAATTTGAATTTACCACAAGACTTTGAATTTAACCAGTTCAACCTATTTATCAAGGCTCGCAAGCAAAAATGTAACATTGCCACATCAGTTAAAAACACACACAAATAATACATTTACAGATAAATAGAAATAAATGAGAGTGAGGGAATCTTCTCCCCGTGCTACACATTAAATAAAGAAAGCAAGTGAAACCCAGAGTCACACAGAAGGGAACCAGGCTGAAGCTGCTGCATCATGCTGTGTGTAACCTTCCGAGTGGCTGACCTGGACTCGGTATCACCAGGAGAAGACCCCACAGAGCAGACCGTCGGGAGTCCATCACTGGAGGTGGACTTGGTGGGGGACAAAGGGTCCTGGATGGTTTTTAAAGCCCGTCTCACAAGAGCAACCACTGGTCCCTGCCAGCTGCAGCCTCTTCCAGAGGAGTTTTGTAAGCACTGACAGAGATAATAAGAGGCCCAGGCAGCCACTGACTAGACCACCTCAGGGGACCTGAACAGAGGCCATAGGGAGAGCAACATGGAGCGAAGGGGCTCAATTAACCAGGACTGTAACAGGCTGTTAGACTCCAGAGCGGAGCCCACTTGGGGTTTGTTCATACAAATTAACTTTGCATTTATGTGTTTTCATGGCAGTTTATATCTGATGCACATAAATCAAACTGTTAAATATTTTATGGAACATTTGCTATGCTATTGCTTGTCTATTATCAGTACATATCGCTATTGTTTCATCACCCATGCCTATGGAGAACAGAAAAGTTTGTGCGATTAATGATGTCTTACTTAGACCAGATT